TCACAAAGTACATATAACCTAAACAACACCTAGGTTCCTAGTAATTCACAAAATAGATTCAGCTTTAAGGCGGTTTCACATTTTGCTGCCCTCAATTTGGTATAAGAATCAAATGTAGACAAAAAAAGGATTTCAATCACCATTTTATATGGAAATTGGGAAATAAAAGTACATTATATCATATGGGCTCCAAACTGAATAAATTATACAGACGCTATGTTTAAGAGACGACCTGTAAAATTCGAACATTCATTACGATATAAGTCCGTATTTTATATATTATTTGTTCTACTTCCGCCTCGAAAAATACACCAACACGCAAACCAAGCTGGCTAAAAAAACACTCATTTGCTGAAACAATTGCTGCCACTGTCTACATGGTAACTCAAGTATATTTTACAAGTGATAAGATATTATGAGTAAACTAATTCAAGAATTTTTAGAACTCCTTAAAACGCCACTATCCGGGACTGAGAGAAGAAACACAAAGATCGGCATAAATGATCACAGAAAATTGTATATTTATCTTCGTTTTATCATTCATGCTTCAAATGTAAGAAAATAGTTGATAAATTAGAGAAGTTAATCTCCTCAAAACATAACCTCAACATATTCACCAGTCTAGAAAAACAAACGAAGTCTATGCATAAAAAACTAGTCGCTACAGTAAAATTTCTATTATTTAATCACTGCAGTGACCAAAGTGACAGCCTATTTAATGAAAGTTTTAAGTTGTGCAATTTATTTTCTAGACATTTTTACGTGTGTCTATTTCCTTTATTTGATTCCTCGCCTAGTTTTTCGCCAGTAATATTAATACTCATTGCGAGTTCATACAGTTTTTACATTTGTATCTGAAAGTGCTCGATTGGGTTGCTTGGATTATTGGGGATAATATTAGAAGTAATACAAGTAAGACAACAAGATTACCACCCCTTTCTAGCCAAACTGTATAGAAATAATTAAAAACTGTATAATGTCTAAAGTGGCTGTAAGAGAAGTTAATATATGGAAATGGATTATAGTACCATTATCTTTCATAAATATTAACTCAGAATCACTATCCTTGAGATTCATGTGTTTCACTTAAATAAATAGTTTTATTTTAGCTGTCTTAGGCTCACCGACGCATAAACCCAAGTAAACAGTGATGAGCTATTTTCTGTCACATGTAAGACATTGTCAGACTATCGAGTTTGGTCTAGCCTAACACGAACATCTGTCCAAAGAGTGATACATTTTGGTGATTCAATAAGTTTGCGTAATCTCACCCCTGTAATTATCAGAAGGCAATACGAAATATAAACTCAAAAGGTGGATTAATTAACTAGCAAAGCATAATTTTAATTTATAATTGAATATTTGTTCCTACTAGAATGTTGCAAATAGTATTAGTTTCATTTGGAAGGTAGGGTAAAATAATTATACCCAGTTTCACACCATTCTTAGTCTTAAATTAACCATCTTATAGAAATCCTCTTGATTATGAACTCATGAAAATACACGGGCGGGTACACATTTGATATCATCCTCTTATGTTAATAAAAATTCACTAAATTCACAATCCCGATATAAAATAAGTCCTAGTATTATTTACTAAAAGGTGAGGGATGAAGATCTGGTGATTATAGTAGCATTATCAGTATCTCGATCAGGGCATCACATCATTTACAAATCTAGGGTTGTTTGTGATCAGATCTAATCTCCATGAATTCCAAACTTGCCATCACCGGAGTTAGACACAGGAATATGCCAAGAGAGGGACCAAAGATAAAAAACGAATACATAAGCACTTTGGATAGACATTTTTATATGACTAGATAAAATAGTTCTAATAATGCGTGAAATTTATTGATGCGTAATACATGTAGAATTATATTTGCCAGTTAATAAACTATAAATATACAGGAACCTTTAAATTTAAGTAGAGAATGTGATATATTTATCTAAGCATATACCCTTTACAGATTTTCTGTGAAATATGTTGCAAAACTATCAGTAATCCTCGTGGCTGTGTAGCCAGATGGTAAAGCGTCACCACAATTTGAATGATTCAGTTGGGGTTTGTCGAGGTGATCTGGTAAAGGGTGAGACTGCAGAACATTCCAAGAAGCAAGGATATGGGAAATAAAATGGCATTACAAGATCTATTCACATCGTTGTTAGACACATTCCGATATCAGTCTTTACATAATCTTAAGAAAAATAAAATGATCAAGTCCTTATAGTTCACAAAAGTTAATAGATTTAGGAGATTCATTCCTCTATGAATATGAAACTACTACAATTATACCAATGGGAGTCAACTTTACTCATCTATAGAATGTCACTAACAAAAACTGCGGATATGAAGGGTGTTGGTGAACAAATAACATATCAAAGTTATAAAGCGAAAGTATTCTAACTGAAAATAGACTTTGAAAGAGGTTACAAATCTTGCTAGTTTAAGGTTAGGGCTAGCTAAACATGGATGTACAAAGTTTTCGGTTGTAAGTAGGCTTTCGAGACTACTTATAAGGTATATGAGATGCGTTCACTCTTCTTTAATTTAACCGCAATTTTATGAGTATATCTTACGTTTCCAATAAATTTCGCATTGCCTTGCTTTCCCAAAAGTTATTTTCATTAAGAATGAAATGAACTGCGGTTTTGACATCGATCAGGTCTCATTAGAACTCTCAGCGGGACTCGAACCATGACAATGCAGCGTATACTCTCGACATGTTAACCGCTACGCTACAATGTGAGTTAACCGCGGATAACTCCGCCACTAAATACACTTTCCCTACGCAATTTAATGGAACTGAAGAGTACCATGTTTGTCTCTGGACCTGAACTTGAACGGTTCAATCTCCGCTGGAGATAAAGATGAGGCCTGTGTGAAATCAAATCTTAGTATAGCCCTAATAAAACAACCTTTGAGAAAGCATAGTACAGCAAATTTTGATGCCCAAGTAAAACTCACTTATTTATGGATAAACAAATCCAAAGTTAAGACAATTTTCTTGTGATTTCATAGATAAAATGTGGTCTGGAGGCCCTATCAAAGTCCGAATAATTTGATACCCTCTGTGCGTGGCATGAAACTAGATCAGACTCTGATGTATAAAGCTAAACACAATGGAAATGTATTCCTCAAAAGTTTAATGTGCAGCGAAACCAAAGTTATTAGCAGGAACCAGCTTAACGTTAAAAATAAGGATTCGATGTGATAATACAAAAACACAGGAATTCATGCAATACTCAAGTAAATATCATGTGAGATCATACCGAAAAATTTACTATGTTCTGTAATGGAAAGTCGCAAGTAAAAGAAGTCAAATTTGTAATTTCATTATTCAGAATATTTTCTTTATATTCCAGTAAGAGAACCAGAATAGGAAGAGCATTGAAGGGAATACGAATGAGAGAGATGATGGGAAAAGTGTGACAAATTGTCCTCTGGGTTGCCACTACTTCAAACCATTAAATTCTTCGCTATGCCATGTAGTCAATCCATAGGAACAGCTAAGTTAAAAGTGTCTATATTCTGGACAGAAAGCAACTTCTTTTATGCTGAAAAAAATAAGCTTGCTTATTTGCCCGACGATGATCCTTAAATCCTCATTTTATTTCAAGAGGTTATTTGAGCCTTTTGATGCTCTGCTTAAGTGTAAATAAGTCACTTGTCAATCTTTAGACAACGTTTTTATGAAAAATAGGTAGCATGGGCGAAAATGAAATTCCATTTATCGGAGATGTAATCAACGTAATTTGTTTTAGGGGAAAAAGGACTAGTAGTGGAATTTTCATACAATATTATAAGTAAGTCTCAGGTTTCTATTGCATTTCTCATAGCCTAGTTTCCTGAAAAGTATTCTCAACTATGCTGGACTGTAATTTTTTATGGAAGCAAATAATGTGAAGTTTAATGAAAATATGAGATCCATTTATATCATTGTTTCCCTCATCACCTTAAACGGAATAGGGTGAGCCTATTTCATACATTTGATTAATGAGAGCCTCAAAAATCCACTTATGAAAACGAGCAATAAAATACATTTAGCATCACCAAACTCGAAAGAAAAGTCACTTTGTGTAGCAAAGATACAGTTTGGTGGACTGTGGCTCAAACGGCACTAGGACCTGAACAGCACATTTGCCAGGAAGGTTCAAAGTGCTTGAATTAGCATTCCTGCCTCGCATTAAATCAGCTTTCAAGCAACCAACAACAGCAATGACATGAAAGCGCCGTAAGTCGCCTTATGCTGACTCGGGTGGCCCACTTGCAAAGTCTTGATGTACAATTGGGAAAAGTTATTTTTAGATCGAATCCTCCTGTGGGTCTATCAAAGTCTGACTGGATAGGATCGAAAAACAAATCAACTCCACATGGGATTAGTAGAAACGGCGCATTTCATTTGCATATCTGAATTGCAATCAGGAAGGCTTTGCCTCCTCTCCCACAGAATTCTCTCATTTTCCCTCATTTGTGTGCCCAACCTAGAAAACTGACCACTGGGCATAAGTAGAAAAAATATGCACTCAGTGCGACAGATAGAAATGCTTGCAGAAGTGAAAACAGATATGCATTTAAAGACACTTTAAAATGTGCAGAATTGTGAGCAGATATGCCAACTTTCGAATCTACTACAGCTTAACCGGTTGAGTCTTATGCTTCAAAGACGAAATTAGACTATTTTTCCAGGTCTACAAAAGTTAATTTAATCAGATATTTTTAAATTCATGCAAGTCAGTCATATTTGTATATAAATAATTACTCAATCATATGCACATATTATTTGTCCTTAAAACAACTTGATTTAATTAATTGCGTATTTTGCTGCCGCAATTTACGATGCACAAAATGGTAAGCTAGTTGGGCAAATTCACTTTCAGAACAGTCCGTATTTCTGTAGGACGACTTAAGTCGTAAGAAGTCCTACTATCGAAATCAAAATGCAAAATTTCTGCAGAATAAAGAGCCCCTATTACGCAAAACTGCCGGTTTCAAATGTCTACTAATCGCTTGAAAAGTGAGGAAGTATTTTCGTTATATATTTTTCTGGGCAGTATCCACTTTGAGGACCGGCAATCTGCCACTTTTTTCCTGGAAATATAAGCCTATGCATGCCTATGATGTAAGTTGAAAAGAAAAAGCCTGCCAACAAAGGACAGATACGATGTGCCTCACCGATTTTGGTCGGTCTGATTGGCCTACTAATCACGGTTCCCAACGGAGTGCTGGCCAACACATGCAGCGTCGCTCTGTCCCAGAGATGTTCTACACGGGCCTCCCACCAGAGTGCATCCCTGAAGTCTGCTGGACTCGACATACCGCTTTCGGCTTCAGCCTGTTGGCGTAGCATCTGCAGATGGGTCAGCGCGACGGCGGGAACTGGACGTAAGTAAACGCGTGGAAGGCCGCTGGCAACGGTGGCAGCCGAAAATGCCGACTTGTACCAGGCGAGATGAGATGAGCCGGTCTCGAATGGCCAGGGCAAACTGGGAAGTCGTGTCAGAGAATAGACAGAAGAGGACGACGTACTTGGCCTGGGTGGGCAAATAAGAGAAATGGGCCAATTAGAAAAGAGAGCAATGCTAAAATAGTTTTATTAAAAGGGTGCTCAAGAGCAGGCAAGGAATGAAGAGGTGGGCCAAAACGTAATAGAAAAAAAATTAGGGAAAAAATAAAGAATAAGTCGATGTTGCGGTAAAATACCTGTAAAAATTGATCAATGAAAAGAAAAGGGAGAGGAACAGGTTGCTAGATTTTGAAAAGGCAAGAAAAAGATGGGAATATGAAAAATACATGCCATTTGTATCAGCTAATGTAATCTCGAAAACCTACCAATAAAACTAATAAGAAGTAATGCAAATACAACATTGCTTCGTCGACAATCCCACCATAGAGTGGGATACGGTCCTCCTGAAATTTCCATCTGCCCTGTGGCCCAAGGGCATTCGTGGTACTATGGCTTAATGGTTAACGGGGCGAGATTACACGCAAAACTTTCATAGTTCGAGTCCCGCCTAAGGTGCCTTTGAGACTGCAGTCCAACCTGGATGAGAATAGCTTTTGGAAAAGCAAAGCCAAGTATAATTCAATGGAAACGCAAAGTAAACTCCTGATATTGTGTGAAAATTTAACTACTAGTCCTCTTATCACCTTAAACGAAATATGGATGGTACACTTCGTATATATAATGTGCTGGTAGCCCCGAAAACCTACTTATAAACGAACAAAAAAGGATGATTTTAAGCTATTCAATATAGAACAATTCAATTAAGTAGATGTATTTTTCCTATTTCGTTTAAAATGACGAAGGACTGATATTAGAATTTTCCCACAATGACATTTCCAATGAATTTCACAGAGCTCTACTCATATCATTGTGGGAAAATTCTACTCTCAGTCCTTCAGAACATTAAACGAAATCGAGTGAATACATCTCATATAACCGATTTACTGGTAGTTTCGAAACTCTACTTAAATACGAAAAATAAGTAACGTAGTCGATTGTTATAGCAAATATACGTTTGCTTCA